AGAGTGCCACTAAGCTACATCCCTGGCCCCACAGAACGGTTATTTTAAAGTAATGTCTAGACAGCCATCCATTGTATTTGTAAATACTTTAGTAGGTATTTCTATTTTAAAATTTTACTTATTTTTTTGGTGGCAGTGGGGACATTTGCACTGAAGTACACTGTCAGACATTTTTATTTTTTTGAGATAGAGTCTTGCTAAGTTGGGCTCAAAACTTGCAATTCTTCTGCCTCAGCATCCTTTTTTTTTTTTTTTTTTTTTTTGTACCAGGGATCGAACTCAGGACCTTGTGCTTGCAAGGCAGGTGGAACCACTGAGCTAAATCCCCAGCCCCTGCCTCAGCATCCCAGAGTGCTGAGATTGCAAGTGTGTGCCTCAATATTTGGATTTTTTTTTTTTTTTTTTGGTACTGGGGATTGAACTCAGGTCCTTGTGCTTGTGAAGCAGGCGGCAGAACCACTGAGCTGAATCCCTGTCCCTATACTTGGATTTTAATAGCTGTCTCTAAGAGATAATGACTCTTCAAAAGAACTGTAAATACAGCTTCATTATTACACCTAAAAGAAGTTATAATAAATACTTAATATGACCTAATTCCCAAACTTTCTTAAATAATCTCTTATTAAATAATTGTAATGTATTTATTTTTATTTTTATTGGTACATGTTTGTGTTGTAGTGCATAATGATTGTTTTTCATTGTAGGGAATTGGTACATGTATATAGAACATTTTAATTCTTTCTACTTATGGTTCCCTTCCTCTCCCTCCCTTAAATGTCTCCTGATAGTTTATTCAAATGAGGATCAAAACAAAGCCCACAAATTGCATTTAATAACAGGTCTTCTCACCTTTCTTGTTTTGTTTTTTGTTTTGTTTCTGATGGGGGGATTGAACCTAGGATCTCACTCATGGTAGGCTCTACCACTGAACTACCTCTCCAGTTCTCTTAAAAGTTGTTTTGAGACAAGATTTCCCAAAGTTGCCAGGCTGGCCTTGAACTTGTGAGCTTCCTCCCTCAGCCTCCCGGGTAGCTGGATTACAGTTGTATGTCACCACACCAGGCTTCTTAAGCTTCTCTTGTCTAAACACCTTGCTGTCTTTTTCCCTTCCTTTCTCCTGTCTTATGTGCTCAGAAATCCAGTGGTGTTATTGAAGAATTTCCTACCTCTGGGTTTTGCTGGAGAGCTCATTTAACTCTTCTGTCCTTTCCTTTCCTTCATACTACAGTTCCACTTGAAGCTTGGCCACATTCAAGATTGACTTTTAAAAAAATTGTGGTAGGAATATATTTTTTGTTGACTTGGGGTGCTGTGTACATCCTGTTGCACATATTTGAGGCAACAACATGTCTGTTTTTTTTCTCTTCCACTATTACAGTTGATTGTGGTTAGGAGCGACAGATTGATTCATTCATAAAATTTTCCATCAGTCTTTTGTATAATGCTGTTAACAATCTAGATGCATTGATTTATTAAGAGAATGTTAATGTTTTAAACGTAAGATTATAGTAAATAACTTTGAAGTTCTGCTATATGCTTGATTCTAGGATGGGCCACCAGAAGTCAGGATTTAGGGAAGTCTTCACTGGGAGACTGCTGTGATTTCTTTGAGAAGGGGCTTTCCTGTGTCCCAGGGATCATGGTGTGAATGTGAATGCTGGGTCTGAGGAAATGGTATATGCTGCAGCCAGGTTGAGTCTACTTGGTTGTTCAATGGTATGGTGTAGTAGCCAGCTGGAGTACCCAGGATGGGGCCACTGTAACCCGGAGCAGCTTTCTGGAAGGGAGGAATGTGGACGGGAAGTTTATTAAGCATGTGACTTCTAGTGGAAACTGAGGGAAATAGAAATGTAAACTGGGGGTCTCAGCGCCTGAGGAGAGATGAAGAGCTCTCAGCACTCCCTGGAGAGCCTTTCTTCACTGCTGACAGCTGGCTCTGCTTCTGCCCACCCTGGTCCCCTTGAGAGGGCACTTGTATGAGTGGTGGGCATTTCTGTAGCTGCCCCAAGAGTCAGCCTGCTGACTTGTTGTCCATGTTATTTGCGGGAAGTATTCCTCTGCCCAAATCTGAAATGTTTAGCTTGATGAACTGTCATAGAGCCAGCACAAAATGAAACCAGTGCTCACTCAGGTGCTAGCTGTCCTCTCTTCTTTTAGCCTCTGCCTGCCCGCAGGGGCCACTGTGCTGCTCCAGACAGTGGAGGGGTTTTCCTGCTTCCCAGCTTTGTGTGACTTGAACTTGTATAGCATATACCCTTTATTGTCTGTTGTCTGTGTCTTGAGTATATAGTTGAAGCCATCTGCATTAAAATGTATTCAAACCCTGTGATTTTTTTTTGTTTGTTTGTTTTTGTTTTTTGGGGTTTTTTTGGTACCAGGGATCGAACTCTGGTCCCTGTGCTTGCAAAGCAGGTGTTGGAACCACTGAGCTAAATCCCAGGCCCCTGTGATATTTTAAAGTATCAATTTTAAAGAAAAAATGGGCAAAGTTACATTTTAAAATAGGTATACACAATAAAAAAGCACATATAGGTTTTATTTATTTTTCTTTTTATTACCAATTAGTAAAATAGGAAGCTGAAATCCTGTGTCTTAGTTTTCTTTTAAAGTGATCATGTGGTGGGTGTCCAGGGAGGGATCCCACAGAGGCATCATCCCTGGTTTGCGGCATGTTGGTTTTTCTCGAGAACAAGTGGGGGCAGAGGGGCATCTCAGCTCACCAGCATTCTGTGGGTGATGACTATACACTCATGGCGGTGCTTTATGAGGATGCTTTACTATTTTTTTTGTACTTTCCAGAAAGGTGATTTGGCCAGCTCTTAGAAAAGCAAGTTTTGTTTTTGTGTAGGAGTATCTGGCTCGGGATTCCCCTTTGATTTTGGACGTAACCCCTACAAAGGGAAGCGCCCTTTGAAAGACATCATTGGGTCATACAAGAATCGGCACAGCAGTGCAGACCCTTCCAGCGAGGGGATGTCGGCCACTGGCAGTGTCAGGCTGGCCTCTGAGATGCAGCTGCAGGTTCAGAGCCAGCAAGAGGAGCTGCAGCGGCTGAAGAAAGACCTGACCAGCCAGAAGGTAATCATCTTCAGACTCCTGCCTTACCCATCTCTTCAGTTCCCACCTCCAGGAGAGCAGCCCATTCATGTTCCATTTCCCAGAAGCGCCTTTCTCTGCAGCTTCACACTGCCATGGCGACCTTTCTGGGCACTGCTGTTCTGCCCAGTGGTTTGTCCAGAGAAGTTTGATTGACACGGCAGGGATAACCCCTAAAGGAGGTTGCAGGATGGTGCTGTCTGCACTCTGGCCAGCTCTACGCTGAGTTTGGTGTTCTTTAAACACAGTATTAGCCCAGAGTTTTGTAACGGTTGTTTAAAACTTTCCACATCCTGTGAAACGGTAGTTTCTTTCTGAGCCAATCAGACCTGATTACAACTAATTGCTTGGCAGTTCAGTGAATCTTAGAATGCAGATTCTCTCATCTTGATTAATACTTGCCAGGACCATTGCTAATGACTGTATGCATGCCCATTATTTCCTGTTTCCTATCATTGTTCTCTACAGGCAGTCTTCATGGAGTAAATACTTTTCCTCTTTAGTTTTTGTCTTTCAAGGAGTTTCCAGTAAAGTTTCTTTGTTTCCTAAGTCTAGCAATTGTTCCTCCTGGTGCCATCATAATTTCTGCCCTTTCCTTCCCACTTTCCCCCTCACCTCAACCTCTTCTTGGCTCCCAGGAGCTGGTTCGGCTGCTGCAACAGACAGTCCGGTCTTCCCAGTATGACAAGTATTTCACGAGTGGCCGGTTCTGCGAAGGGGTCCCTGGGGCTACACTGGAGCTGCTCCACCAAAAGGATGATCAGATTTTGGGCCTCAGCAGCCAACTGGAGCGGCTGAGCCTGGAGAAGGAGAGTCTGCAGCAGGAAGTGAGGACCCTGAAGAGCACAGTGGGCGAGCTCAATGAGCGGCTAGGAATGCTGATGGAGACCATCCAGGCCAAGGACGAGGTCATCATCAAGCTCAGCGAGGGCGAGGGCAGTGTGCCTTCCCCCTCTTCGGTGCCGGGCTCCCCCCTGGCTGCCCCAGCCAGCAAGGACCAGCTGGAGTTGGACAGGCTGAAAGTAAGAGAAGGGCACGGATTGTGGTTACAGGGACAGGGATCCCAAACTGGTACCTCCACCGAGATCACCCTAGAAGTCCTGGTCTCTGTGAGCTCATTGGGTGAGACAGAAAACACTGTTCCTGTTTTTGTCTTTGTGTTTGACAAGTATAACAGGACTTACTGTCAATTACTAATTTTCTCAGTAGCTCTCCTGGGAAATGTGAATGCTGTTGCCACTTCTTGAAGCAGGTTCAGATCTCTTCCTCTCGTGCTTTCAGGCTCCTCATTATCCCACAGACCTTATGGAAATGGTCACTTGTTCCTTCTATGTGTGACACACACACGCGCACACACACACACACACACACTTACACTTACACTTGCACAGCCTCCTATAGGGCCTGACAGGCCTGGAGCAGGAGCCTCATTCCCTTAACTGGTGAGGGGTGAGCCAGGGGTGGACCCCAGCTCTGTTGGGTCTGGCAGGAGTCTGCACCTTGTATCCCAGGTGGAAGGGAGACAGAGCTTCCCTTCCAGCATATCCATCTGTGGCCCCTACTGGGTGAGAAGCAGTGATTTTTCTGGTCCCAACCTAGGGTGCTGACAGCAGATGCTGTTGGAACACCCAGCACTGTGGAAGGCAGGGGAAGTTGGACTCTCATGCCTGCTGAGAAGTCTCATCATGCAGGGCATAGAGCGGAATGGCCTTGGGCTGCTGTTGGGCCATAGAGAGGGTCATCAAGTCCTTCTGCCACCATCTGAGACTGTTGGAGAGGTTTGAGGCGGACAGATGTCTCCTAGGGCATCAGAGCCCAATTGCCAGCCTCACTGAACCCAACATGTTCTCCACCTGGCTGCCTGCTTCTCGTGAGTGACTGCTCCAAGCGTGTTTGCTCCCAGTGGAGTTTGTCCTTGAAGGGCAAAGGATTACTACTGTTGAAGTCATTGGTGAGCACATGCTTCAACCCCTCCACCTTCATGCACTGCAGCAGATTGGATGAGTGATGAGCAGGTTAGGCACCTCGAAGGTCATTCCAAAACAGAGCTAAGAACGTTGTAGTGATAGCAGCATTGTTGGAATGTATAGATGGCCTCCCATAGTGACCGTCTCTTAGTGACAGCACCTTTGGTTGTGTGAGGCATAGGATTTGTTAATGAGAAAACCAAAACAACCACAAAACCCCCAACCTCATTACTTTATACTTACATTTACTATAAAATAGCCTTTCTTATAAAAGATGTCTTGATTAGTTCTGCCAGTAGAAGTTGGTTTTCTTTATATATGTAACCTTGACTGTTCTGACCCTAATCATATGTCCCATCAGAAGTGTTCATTTTGCAGACACATCTGTGTTCACAGAAGATGGAGACTATGCCAGAGACAGGGTTTCCAGGCCATGGTGAGCTGTACCTGGCAAGAAAGAGGTGTGGGTCACATTTCCCTGGGAGCTGAGCCAGGTGCATGGTGAGGGTCCCTCCCTTTTGGAGAACATTAATGGGGTGAATCAGGGTGGACTCTTCCTTCCATTTCCTTTTTGTGGCATAATAGTTGGGATGGTTTAGGGTCAATAATGAAATATTTTCCCCAAACATTTCTCAACCATTTTAAAGCCTTTGGCTCCAAAATTTCTCAACTATGAAGTTCAGTGGGTACAGCTTGTGAAGAGGCAGTGGTTGCCAGATGGGTTCCAGGTGGGATGCACGAGTTCTCCCTTGGTCAAGACCTTGGGTTTTGTGTTCCTCTGCCCTGTGGACCTAGTGCACACCTCCTGTGCAGTGCTGGAAGGCTTGAGAGAGGAGGACTTTGATGATGTCGTGACACCGTGTCCTCCTTTTCCAGGGCTGAACTACATGGTTGAAGAGGAAGTATTGAATTCTTTTTTGACCTCACATCTAAAATGACTAGGTGGAAATAACATGTACATAATTTTCATATGTAAATATAACATTTTAATGTAAACAAAATCTGTTAAAATACTTTGAATGCATTTTTAGTTATCGTTTTGTTTTTTTAAATTGCTGTTCCTAGCCAGTTTTCTTGCTTTTCAGTGGATGTGGCCTATAAAGATTTCTGGTCCTTTGGATTTTACTCTTTTTTTTTGTGCCTGAAAATGGTTGCTTTTTACTTGTGGGGTACTAGGAGGTGGGGACAAAATATTGGTCCCTTCTTTTTTTCAGTGCTGAGGATAATCAAAGGTCTTATGTGTGCAAGGCAAGTGCTCATCACTGAGCTACTCCCCAGCCCTGTTGTACTTTGCTTTAAGCTTTTCCATAAGTATGAACTTTTTGTGTAATTTTTGTTTTGGGTACCAGGGATCAAACTCAGGTCCTTGCACTTGTGAAGCAGGTGGTGGAACCACTGAGCTAAATCCCCAGCCCTTTTGTGTAATTTTTAGTTAAGGGCTTTGTATATGTTTATAACCCTTTTTTTCTTTAACAAAGTACATAAGTAAAAATGAGACTTGAGAGAATATGTTCAGCTTCTCTAGTTCAAAAAAAAAGAATGAAAAATGAGAACCAAGACCTGTCATGTAAAGGTACAAGATCCCAATGATGAATGTAACTGTACTGTGTACCTAAAATGTACCAATAAACTCAATGAGAAAAAAAAAGAATGTAAAATATCACTCTTTGGGGCCGGGGATTTAGCTCAGTGGTTCCGCTGCCTGCCTCACAAATGCAAGGACCGGAGTTCAATCCCTGGTACCAAAAAAAAAAAAGTACTAAAATATCACTCTTTTTTTTTTTGGTACCAAGGATTGAACTTGGGTGCTTGCTCTTGCAAGGCAGGCCACTGAACCACTGAGCTAATCCCCTGCCCTAAAATATCACTCTTTGTACCACCTCAATGAAAATGAATAGGTAAAATAGTTGCAGAGATTTAGGAAGTAAGCATTCTTCATTTCAACTCTCATCAGTTGAGAAAAATCACCACCATCAAGTCATCATTTCTTCTGTCTTTTTTGTTACAGCAGCAGTACCTGCCTTCATTCTGCTGCCACAGATGTCCAGGAAGATTAACTCAAACATTTGTTAACAACTTCCAGGTCCTTAGAACTGATCCCGACTGTTTAGAGACTGTTTGTTGAGGCAGCAAACCCGATCACATAGTCATTATCCAACCAGTGTGAACTGATGGGATTTCTTCCCCCTACAGGATAATTTACAAGGGTACAAGGCCCAAAATAAATTTCTAAATAAGGAAATTTTGGAACTCTCAGCTCTACGAAGAAATGCAGAAAGGAGAGAGAGAGATCTGATGGCCAAGGTGGGTCCATATTGGAAGTATTCTTATTATCTGGTGAAAGGGAAGGCTAGAAAACCACATTTAAATGGATGTGCTTTAAAAGCAGTTCTCCTGCCGTGCTTAGAGAAAGATGACTTGATTCAAAATATATTAAAATATGTATAGTACATAGAGCCATGTACTTTGTTGTTGGTGAAGACAGAGAAAGGCCCATAGATGTGGCTTTTATCATACATATGCATTTTAAATGGACTTTTTTTTGAGCAAAATTTTGTACAATTATAGATTCCCCAAATTAAGAGTATTTAGATTTTTGTTAACACATTTCATATCTGTGGAAGTCTGGTGTTGAGGATACTGCCTCCTCTTGAAACCACTGGGTTGTTTTGAGAGTCAGAGATGATTATGGCTGAAAAGGACTTTGCAGAGTATGAAGGGACCACAAATACTGCAGTTGTAACTGAATTATAATCAAATGACACTTGCCTGTGGCTGCTCTATATACCTTGTGTAATTTTTTGAGCAAATCTAAAGCATCTATCCAAATCTTAATCCTTGTGTGCTTTCCAGATGTGTTTAATTTTTCTGATCAGGTGGCAGATGGGAGCTCGTTCTGAGTCACAGTGTCTTAAGATAAGTGGCCTGGCATAGGTTGACCAGTTATGGTCCATGTGGTTGGTGCACCAGCTTGACCTCAGTGTTGGCATCTGGAGTCTGCTGCTCACTCCAGCCCTGTGCAAGTGTGTGACATGCGTTGGCACTCAGACCTCTGGTTATCAGCGCCCCTTCTGTGCCAGACCTTGAGGAGGGAGCTATGTTAAACATAACAGTTGGCCAGTGGCACACATTAATGTTGCCTTTGTTACTATCAGTCTCTGGCTGACTTCCTGATAGTCTTAGGTTTGTCATTGATCAGTTGTATGAGCCACATGAGGGGAGGCTTTTTCTGTATCTTGTCTGGATAAGGTAACCTCCCACTTGTTCTAAAGTATTCCAGCCTGGAAGCCAAGCTCTGCCAGATAGAAAGCAAATATTTGATATTGCTTCAAGAAATGAAGACCCCAGTGTGCTCAGAAGAGCAGGGACCCACCCGGGAAGTCATTGCCCAGTTGCTGGAGGATGCGCTGCAGGTTGAGAGTCAGGAGCAACCTGAGCAAGCCTTTGTGAAGCCTCATCTAGTCAGGTAAAAATGCCAGCAACTGTTGGGGGGTACACCCTGTTCCTGAAGTCCCTTCAGCAGAATACCTGTTCACAGAGGACTTCACACAACTCTTGTGTCTCATTTGATGCAAATGACAGTGCTGCTGGGTCAGCACAATAGATGACACAGTCATTTCCCTTGTCATCAAGGGATAGATCTGGGGATCAGATCTCATGAATCGTGTCAGTCACCCTGCTTCCAGACCATGTCTTCTTCAGGAGGAGCCAGTGTTCCAAAGAGTAAGGACCTTTTTTAGGGACATAGCTGTACCCACAGAGGATTCAGAAAGAAAGAGGCCCCATAGAGGAGAACTGGGCTTTCTTTGTAAGGGAAATCTGCTTAGGTAATCTGTTCATCCCTAATACTTTACAAATATTTTCTTCTTTGTCTTTTGCTTTTTTTTTGGTACCAGGGATCGAACTGAGGACTTTATGCTCACAAGGCAGGCACAGTGCCACTGAGCTAAATCCCAGGCCTTTCACCTTTTAAAATGATGTCTCTGTCAGGCATGGTGGCATATGCCAATAATCCCAGCACTTGGGAGACTGAGGCAGGAGGATAGCTGAAAGCTCAAAGCCAGCCTGGGTTACATAGTGAGTTCAGGGGCAGCCTAAACTGCATAGCTAGACCCTGTCATCTTTTGAGGCATAAATTTAATCACTTGTATATGTATGATATATAAACACACATACACGTTGATGTTGCCATGTTTATCAGTCTTGTTTTTGTGATATTACCTATATTTTCTTCGTGTTTTTTTCATTCAATATTTTAAGCCATCTGAAATTGATTTTTTTCCACCTAGATGGCAGCTATCCCTGTTTTTTGAGAGGCTCACTGTTTGCTTGCTGGTTTGAAATGCCTGGTCGTATATATATAGATATATACATGGATGTGGATTGGTTTCTCGGTTCTCTACTCTGTTATATTATTTTTTTGCAAAGATCATTTTAATTTTCATTTTTGTTTTGTCAACAGTGAGTATGATATCTATGGGTTCAGGACTGTGCCTGATGATGACGAGGAGGAAAAGTTGGTTGCTAAGGTCCGAGCCTTGGACCTGAAGACTCTGTACCTTACAGAGAATCAGGAAGTTTCCACTGGGGTCAAGTGGGAAAACTACTTTGCCAGCACAGTAAACAGGGAGATGGTGTGCTCTCCAGAACTGAAGACCCTCATCCGTTCAGGCATCCCCCATGAGCACCGCTCTAAGGTGTGGAAGTGGTGTGTGGACCTCCACACAAGGAAGTTTAAGGATGGTGTGGAGCCAGGCTATTTCCAGGCCTTGCTGCAGAAGGCCCTGGAGAAGCAGAACCCAGCCTCTAAGCAGATTGAGCTGGACTTGCTTCGGACACTGCCCAACAACAAGCACTACTCCTGCCCCACCTCTGAGGGCATCCAGAAGCTGCGCAATGTCCTGCTTGCCTTTTCCTGGCGGAACCCGGATATTGGCTACTGCCAAGGGCTGAACAGGTGGGCATCAGCCACAGCATGCTCCCAGGTACCATTCAAAGAATTGTGGGCACCAAGCACTGCCTCATAGTTCTTTCCCTTCCTGTGTAATCAAGAGAAGCCATTGTTTTAGGGAAAAAAAGCAATTACAGCAAGCTAGTTTTATTGAGCAGCTGTCCCAAGCTCAGGAATAATAGAAACAAGTGTGCTTCCAGAAAGTATTACGAACACAGAAGTTGGAGTGGGAATGTAGTTCCATGGTAAAGTGCACCAGGGCCTGGGTTCAGTCCCTAACACCCAGAAAAAAGAACATGAAATCAAATTCAGTTGAATCAGTTTGGAATCTCATTCTTTCTTGTTCTTTCACTCTTGGATTTTGAGCGAAGTTTGATTTCATTGGTTGATAATGCACGGAGTGAAAACTTAACGGCCACTCCTTATATATACAGGACCCTTGTGAATTAGGAAGTTGCCTTAAACAGTGCTTCAGCTTCTTTAAATCCAGCTCTTGAAAGACCTAACCTTGCTTTTTTTTTTTTTGTACCGGGGATCAAACTTGAGACCTTGTACATCCAAGGCAGGGGGCAGAACCACTGAGCTAAATTCCCAGCGCTAACCTTGCTTTTTTTAGACTGGCCTCTCTCAACATGTCTTCCATACTTCCCTGAACAGGGTATGTAGAAGCCACTGGCTTGTCATTAATGATGTAGCTCAATGGTGGTGAACCTACAGCATGTGTGCCGCAGCAGGCTGTTTGTATCATTGAAAGCTCTAAAAGGTTTGCCATCAGTGATCTAGCTTTTAGGTCTGAGCTATGCTGGGCCAGAATGAGGCCTCTGCACTTTGGGACAGGGTGTTGGGTGCTGGAGACGGCTTCCTGCTTCTGATCCTGAGTCTGACCTTACCTGGCTGATCTACCTTCTTCTGTTTCTGCCTCCTGCTGCGTTGTACTTTGCACTTGTATTTCTTTGTGGGAGTGATGTAAGTAAGCAAGCTTATTGGAAATATAAAGAATGAAGACACTCTGTTTATGTACTTGAGGAATCCCCTGTAAGCCAAGTGCATGAGCTTGAGTTTTGAATGCTGATGTTTATCCTGGATGCATAGAGACCTTTATGCTCCTGGTCATGCCAGGTGCTGACCTCGGCGTAAAGGCTGTCTATTTGCATTGGAAATGAGAGTATTACAGGAGGCAAGGTTTCAGACTGCACTGTTTCTTGGATAAGATCCAAGTGAAACCAGATGATTTCCAGGAAGCCCTTGCTTGTGGTGGTGAGAACAGGGTGGCTCTCTGTGCCCTTGGAAAGTAAAGGGAGTTTAGCTGTTCCTAGACAGTCTCCGTTTTAAAAAGAAAAAGCCTGTAAGTAGGCTACTCCTTAATAAAGCAGTCTTGTTTCACGTAAAGCTACAATTCACATATTATTCTCAGGTCTAAAACTAACTGGAAGGTGACAGTCTCTGAAATTAAGGGGCCCCATTTGGGGGTGCGGTAGTCATGGAAGCAGATCTTTGTCCATAAGGGATGCTTCCAGATAAAGCTTTTTCTCTGCACCTCCATCCCCACTGGAAAAAGGTCTTAATTTTAACTTTTACTGGATGTTTTTCTTCAGAATGTTTGGTTCATGTCCGTGCCTTCTGAATACCCAGAACTTCCGTAGAACTTAAGCCTTTCTAGATTATTCAGGCCTCTTGTCTTTAGCATCATCAGTTCATTTAAGTGATATCCTCAAAGGCTCTTTTGACTATGGACTCTGCTGTCTTTCTGACATCCTTGGGTGATATGGATATGGATATGTGCTTTTGTGAAATGCTTTTCTCCATCTGTCATTTGTCATTTTTGCACTGTCTACCCCTTTCATGATGACTGGAGTCGTCCTTCCCACCTAGCTCAGGTTTTTTTTCTTTTAATTTGCGATGAGTACATTATAACTTTAAGCAGTGGGGAGCAGATTGTGCGAAAGGACATCAGGTTTTCCTATGAGTAATGCATGTAGGCTTAATGTAACACACAGGCAGGAAGTGGATTTCAGCTAAGTAGAAAGGGCATTTTTCTCGCCTTTGCCCCAGTGTCTACTTGGAGCCAAACTTGGGGATATTGAACAAGTAGTCTCTTGGTTAGTGACAGTGTGTAATAGCTGGACCCAAATTCCCATTATGAAGAATGTAGCAGTTGGTACAGTCTCCTTTCTCAGGACCCCAGCTGCCTTCCAGATGTGGTTGTCTGAGAACCTCTCAGCGGGGTTCCTTTGTCTGTGGTCCCTTTAATTCTTCCACTGTAGAAGCAGGATAGGTGGAGTCTGGAAAGTTGTTTTTGAAACCATCTGGTTCTCTTTATTGTTTACATCTACATCTGGTTTTTTTTGTGTGTGTGTGCATAGAAGGAGTAGTGGAGCTTTTTGAACAAGAAGTCAAAGAATAGCTGCATTAGTAAAATCTTAGAATGAAAACTTTTTTTAAAAAATGAGGCTGGTAAGGGGCTGGGGATTTAGCTCAGTGGTGCCGCTGCCTCCCTCCGAAGTGCAAGGTCCCCAGTTCGATCCCTGGTACAAAAACAAACAAACAAACAAAAAAAACAGGCCGGTCAGTCATTGGGAAACAGTTTCTTTTAACAAAAAACAAAAACCAAATGAAAGAGCAAGGGAAAAGTAGCTTTGCTTCTCAAATTTTAGGAAGTGCCTCACTTGTTCAGCAATGCGTACTTACTCTTTGTTGGACAGCTATAGTTTGACCAGAGGAGAGAATATGGCCCAGCAGATGTCTCAGTGAAGATTGACACAGGACTGGCACTGACCCTCCTCTCTTGCTTGTAGGTTGGTGGCAGTGGCCCTCCTGTACCTGGAACAAGAAGATGCTTTCTGGTGCCTGGTTACCATTGTGGAAGTTTTCATGCCTCGAGACTATTACACAAAGACTCTTCTAGGATCCCAGGTACTTGGTGTATGTGTATGTGTGTGTGCATGGGCACATATGTGTTTGTTTTATAGAATAGTGAGACTGATTTTGGGGAGTTGGTACATATATATGAGAGCTCTTGACCATTTTTAATTGCTTTGCTTCCTTCCTTCCCTCTCCCCCATTTCCTTTCCCATTTCTAGTAATTTACTTTCTAGGTGTCTGTCTGTCTTTCTGTCTGTCTATATATCTTAACTCAACCTAACCCAACCTAACCTAACCTATCTTTCTTTATTTTTTAGCTTTTTCATATAAGAGAAAACGTGATATTTAACTTTCTGAGTTGAGCTTATTTTGCTTAGCGTGATGTTGATTTCTATCCACTCTCCTGCAAATGACGTGATTTCATTCCTCCTCGTGGCTGAATAATATTCTGTTGTGTGTATGTATATACCCACCACATTTTCTTTATCCACAGCTTAGCTATATTGAATTGCATTGCAATAAGCATGTGTATATGTAGGATTGTTATAGTATAATGTCTTTGATTCTTTCAGGAATGTATGCAGGAGAGGTATAACTAAGTTAGACAGTATTTTTGTTTTTAGTTTTTAGTGGAATCTCCATGCTGATTTCCATGGTGGCTGTACTAGTTTACATTCCCACCAGTAATGTAGAATGCTCCTTTTTACCCCATCCTGGTCAGTAGTCATTACTTTTTGTGTTAGTGATAGCCATTCTGACTGGGCTAAGAATGACTCTCACAGTTGTTTTGATTTTCATTTCTCCAATGGCCAAAGATTTTGTACATTTTTTTTGGTGTACTTGTTGGCCACTTTTACTACTTCTTTTTAGAAGTATTGGTTCAGTTCATTTGACCATTTTTGATTGGGTCGTTTGTTTTTTGGTCGGTTAATTTTTTGAGTTCTTTACATATTCTAGAGATTTAGCTCAGTGGTTCTGCTGCCTACCTGCCTTACAAACCCAAGGACCTGAGTTCGATCCCTGGTACCAAAACAAAGAAAAGTAGCTAGCAAAACTTTTTTTTTCCTGTTGTATAGGTTATCTCTTCACTGTTGTGCAAAAGCTTTTAATTTGACATAATCCATTTTATTGATTCTTGATACAGAATTATTTCCTGTGCTTTTGGATTTCTATTCAGGAAGTCTTTGTGCCTGTGGCTTCAAGTATTTCCCTTATATTATCTTCCAGTAATTTCAACTTATTTGGTTTTCTGTCTAGGTCTTTGATCTGTTTTGATTTGATTTTAGCACGGGGTGAGGGATAGAGATCTAGTTTTGATCTTTTGCAAGTGGAATGCAGTTTTCCCACACTATCTGTTAAAGAAGCTGTCTTTTCTCCATTGCATGTTTTTGGCCCCTTTGTCAATAATCAAATGGCTGTAGGTACATGGACTTGTTTCTGTGTCTTCCCTTCTACTCCATAGTCTACATGTCTATTTTTATATCAGTACCATATGGTTTTGTTACTATAGATTTGTAGTAGAACTTGAAATTCCGTATTGTGGTGTCTCCCAGCTTTGCTCTTTTTGCTCAAGATTTCTTTGGCTACTCTGGGTCTTTTCTGATTCCATATGCATTTTAAGGTTGTTTTTTCTAGTTAATGTTGGTCTTTTTTTTTTTATTGAGTTTATTGGTACATTTAGGGATACAGTACAGTTACATTCATTGTTGGGATCATGTACCTTTACATGGCAAGTCTTGATTCTCATTTTTTTCCCCTTACCTCTGCCCTCCCTTCACCCCCTCCTCCCCTCCCCATCTACAAACACTTTATTTTCATCTTTTCATTCTCTCACATTTTTTTCTTTTCCCTTTTTGTTCTTCCCCTACGTATCACACCTTCCCTACACCTTTAGCTCCTTTCCTCCCATTTCTAAATGTCAGTAATCTTATTAGAATCTTATGCATTGTTGCAGAATATTCACACCAGGGAAACTATTCGGTATTTACACATGTGGGACTTATTTATTTCACTTAGGAGTATATCTTCAATATGTATCCATTTTCCTATGAATGAATCTATTCTCTC